TTATTTTCTCCTTATGTTGCTGGAGACTCGCAAATACTTTTTTTCCTCATTTTTATGTTTGAAAGGCCAGTGTACATGACAGCATGAAGGACATCCCTGTGCAGGCTGGAGCTTGTTTAAAGCCCTGTGAAAAACTGCAGAAATCCCATCTTAATGCAAACTCCAGGAAATAATTTTGTTTAGTATTTTGGGGGGGAGAAAAAAAAATGACATTACCTGAGCCTAGAAAGTAATACAGAAATAGAAAAAAGTCTCTACAGTAGTAGCTCTGAAAATGTACTTAAAACAAAACAGAGAAAAAGGATACTGGTAATGTTTTTTATGTAAAAACCAAGCTACATTAATATCGGTTAAGCTGTTTTTCTTCCTGCCAGCCACTGTAACAGTCTTAGGAAAATCTGGAAACGTCTATTTAATATTTAATAAACATCCCTGCTTTTCTGCTTTTTTAGATTTAACACCATTATATAGCCCTGTTCCAAGACCTTTCCTCTTGATTTATCCTGGGCTAAGCAAGAATAACAAAGTCGGGATCTTGGTGAAAGACACGAAATGTGAATTACTGCCAGTTGTCTGCAGAGATAAGCCTGAGAGGTCTGGAGGTTATCAAGGAGTTTGGCTGTGCAGGAGACAACGTTGGGAAAGTCAAGCTTGACCTGGACCTTACCTGGAACGTGCTGACCTGACTGAGCCACTAGCAAAGGTTTGGGAAAGGCCTGGAAGGGTTTGGGAAAGACTCAGGGCAGGGACAGTGTCTCACTCAACCTCTCAAGGTGAATGTGAGAGCTGCTCTCTCTTTCCAAGGGCTCTTGCAACACCTTTTTACTCCTTTTGCTGATATCCCAGTATTCTAGAGGAAAACCCATTGCCTTGGCTGCTTGAGTGTGCCTGTGTCCAGCTGGGGTATAACACAGATAAATATAAATACCTTTTAGAAGGTGGGAGTGTCGGGGTTTTGCCCTGCTTCCACGGCCAGTGGATATTTTGGTTTTGTTTTCTTTGAAATAAAACTTAGCAATTTCAGTTTATTCCCTCTTTTGTGCTGGACAAGGCTGTTGCTGCCCAAGCCACTTACAAGAAGCTGCATTCTGCAGATTGAGAGGTTTCATAAAGAAGATTAGCATATGTAGCATGAGAGGTGCAAAAGTGAAAGACTGTTTGTCAGATACCTGCAGCCTCATCAGCCCTGCACTCACCTGAAAATGCTTTTCGCTTTCTACATTCTTCCAAGTAATTAATTTAAAAAAATCTGCCTGTGATATATCGCCCTGATTTTGTACTGAGACTATATTAAAATGATTTTTCATTAAAAAAATCTTGATCATAATTACCTGATCGATGCTGATGATGAGGTAAATGAAAAATTATATCTATTTTTATCTGTTTAAATGATATATATTTCTTTAATATATATAGTAATATTTCATAGCTATATATATGTATGTAACTATATATATAACTATATATATCTATATATCTATATCTATATCTATACCTATATCTATATCTATATATAAAGTTGCTGTTTATGAAGTTTGCCACCAGTTTATTCATCTGCAGCTTCAATTTTTCCTCTCTCTTTCTGAAGTTTCAGAAGCAGAATAATAAGTGCTTTATTCTCCTCAGGCAGACTTACCTGCTTTAAAATTCAAAACTCATGTATTTGTATAGCTTGTGCATCAGCAAGAGGAATGACATGCCTGTGCTTTGCCACGCAACCCCCCTGACATCTTGCAATCCCAGTTCTGTAATGATGTGTCTGTTACGAGGATGAAAAGCAGAAGTGTGCTACAGGGAGTGAGAAAGATCTGCTGACCTGGAACCAGTCAAATCTGCAGAGACGTTGAGACTGAGTAATGCATGAGCCAGGAGCACTACTTAACAAAGCATAAATTAAAACTTGGGAGAGATCAATTTATTAAATGTGCAAAGCATCTGCGATTCCTACTTTGAAAAGCACTTCAGCACTCATAAAAATGAGGCATGTCTCAAAGCAAGATCTAATGGCTTTGGGAGATCCATAAATTTCAGTAACAATGCTCCTTTGAGCACTGATGAACCTAAGCTGTACATACAGTATAAAGAATCCCATTAAAAATTCACTGCCCATGTAGGTGCACAAAAGAGTTGATTTTTTTCATAGGTAATTTGGAAGGGGGGATTGCAATTTTTTCTGCTTATGATTTCAGTTCATTTTTACTAGTGATTTGCAAATTATTTACGTGGAAAAAGGAGGGAAAGTAATGAAACCAGAGGGACCTGGGCAGCCTGGAGTGGTGGGAACTTGCTGAAGTTCAACAAGTTCTGGTGCTGCATCTGGTTCAGGGAAACCCCTGGGGTTGATCCAGGCTGGGGATGAAGTAGGATGCAGTGATTATGATTGTGAGGATGACTATTATTAGATTTATTGTCAATACAGTTTCTACATAACAGCTCTTAGCCACTACTGCAGTGTAATCAGGTTTGGTCCCTCCTGTTGAATTTGAAGCTTCAGTGAGACACCCTGTCTTTCTGAACTACTCAGAGAAGTCTCAGATTAGTCTCAGATTTGGTCACGGTTTTTAAAGGGTTACAATTCAAGCAGGTTCAGCTGGACACATACAGATTTACTATCTTTGCCTGTGCAGAACTTACAGTTGCAAAGTACCTATGGAGTAGATTTTCCTTTTTGCAGGCCAGTGTGCACCGCAGACAATGGCAAACATCTAAAGAGACCACAAGGGAGGTGGAGAGGGACTTTTGTCAAGGGCATGGAATGACAGGACAAGGGAAAATGACTTTAAACGAGTTTAAGGGAGAATTGTTCCCTGGCAGGGTGGGCAGGCCCTGGCACAGGGTGCCCAGAGAAGCTGTGGCTGCCCCTGGAAGTGTCCCAGGCCAGGTTGGACAGGGCTTGGAGCCATCTGGGACAGCAGGAGGTGTCCCTGATCATGGCAGGGCTGGCACCGGATGGGATTTAAGGTGCTTTCCTATCCAAACGGATGATCTTAGGTGGAAAGACACCTTTCCTATCTAGTAGCCTGTAAATGTGGCAATAATCTTTGAAGACATTCTAATACAGTCTTCTACACTGTCCTATTATCTTTCAGGTGAATCCCATATAAGCAATCAAAAAATAGTAGTTACAGCCATTGGGGCAATGGTTTGCTTTGCAGCCCTGTGAGATCAACGTGATTTCTGTTTTCTTCTCGTCAGTTTTGCTGATGTGTAAGTCTCAGTGATGTTACCTGAATTTGAATGGCACAAAATTGGCCACACAGGGAGAGAATCAGGATTTGCACATTGTCAGTACCCTTTAGCACTCTTTGCTGCAAATAAATGTCGTTTGAGAGGGCAAAGTATGATTTGCTATCGAAACCTAAGATTTCTGAGCTATTTGCCCTGCAACAATACCTCTGGACAGCTTTCTTTAAAGACATAATTGTAAAATTCTGTACTTGGGTGTAAGCAAAGAGAGCATCGTCAAATGCGGTACTTGGGTGAGAAACAGCTTTTTCACTATTTTTATCAGGTCACATAAGTACACATGTGTGAATACATGTACAACACACACATAGATGTTTTATCTACAGGTGGACAACTCCATGGCACTTTTTTGAGCAAAGCCTTTTCTATAAGGACCTTCCTGTAGGAGAGTGACTATGGTCATGTCCTCTTCTGATTCATTAGGAAAGAATTATCCCTGGTAGAAAGAGAGGAGTGAAGCAATAAATATTTTCCTTCAGACAACCATTCCCGTGTATCTGCTTACTTTGTTTATGGCACAACCACTGAAATAACAGTGAGAATGCCAGGAATGAAAAATCAGCAGGTTTAAAAAAAATTGTAATCTGTTCTTTATTAACTAATTTGAAGTTTTCTTGCTCAGTACATAGACTTTATATCTCTGGAGTGCAAGCACATCAATGAAGGTATGATTTTGGTCTTCCTGAAGTCATTGTAGTAACTTTTACTAACTTGCCTAGTACTTTGGAAGAGAGAATTGTTTTAATGCATTGCTCCTGCTTGCCTGAGATTTATCTCTAGGATGTAAAAAAACCCCCTACAATAAAACTGAAGAGGAGGTTTGGAAAAAACCCATTATTTTCTGGATTTATAGCTGAATAATGGCCTAAATGCCGATTGCTGGTCGTTGCTGGTCATTTCTCTGTATGCTAGATTTTATTATCATTGTAAATCTAACCGGACTGTAACATAATTTGCAGTTGCAATGTACATATACATATGTTGTTTGTGTTCAGCTCATGTGGGTATTGCTAGAATTAGTCCAACTGCAGTGATCCAGCCCAGCTGGGGGGGTTACATTTCCTGCCTGCAACTTTTATCTTTCTTTCTCTCTCTCTTTCCCTCTTTCTCGCTTTCTCCCTTTCTTTCTCTCTTTCTCTTTCTCTTTCTCTTTCTCTTTCTCTTTCTCTTTCTCTTTCTCTTTCCCTTTCTCTCTCCCTTTCCCTTTCCCTTTCTCTCTTTCTCTCTCTCTCTCTCTTTCTTTCTCTCCCCTTGTCTCTTGCATTAACAGCTCAATAAAACCCACACAATTGGCTTTGCCACATGGTCTCCAGCTGGAAGCCCCAAGCCTGGGGCTGCTCCAGCCACTCCCAGAGCCTTGGGCAGCTCAAGGGGTGCTGGGGTGGCCTTTGTGACACAGGCACCTTGTGTCACAGCCCTGGGTGACACTGCGGTGCCCAAAGCCCTTTGTGACACGGCAGAGCCCCCCCGGCTGGGGGTATATAAGTGATGCTGCGGGCCCGGAGCTGGCCAGTACCACCAGAGCAGCCGTGTCTTCCGGGCCAGGAGTCATCTGTGCCAGGGGACATCAGACAGACAGACAGACAGACAGGAGAACAAGGCAAAGCCCAACTCCTATTCCCTCAGCCCCTTGCCCAGCTGGCTGCAAGAGCTGGCCCTCAGTGGGCAGTGGCTGGGGGCAGTCTCTGGCTTGTCAGAGACTGTCAGAGGGCAGCTCAGTCTTTCTCTCTCTCAGAAAAGGGGACTTTGTCACCATGGACGAGGAATGCAAAGAGCTCTGCCCATATGAATCTGTCTGTTGCCCACAGCGTTGTCTGTGGGATGAAGTGACCGTGCAAGATGTCCAACAATGGGATGAAGAAGACACATACCAGGAAGTTGCCCCCTGCGGAGCTGTGGTAAAGCAGAAGGTGCACCACTGGAATGTTGGTGCAACAGTGGAGTGGCCAGATGGGACACAGCAAGAGGTGTCCCGGTTTGGGGAACGTGTGACAGTACAAGACGACGTGGACAGCTGCTGCCGAGAGGTGTCCCTGTGGGAAGAAGAGGTGGCAGGCCCACGGCTGTGCCCATGGGCAAAGTGTGTGCCAGAGCCATGCCAATGGGACGATGATGATGACGACATATGCCCAGAGCTGATCCGGTGCTGTACGCTGTCCCCGTGCCCAGAGCCGTCCCCATGCTGTGTGCTGTCCCCATGCCCAGATCTGCCCCCATGTCGTCCACTGACCCCATGTCGTCCACCCTGTGTGCCGCCCCGTTGCCGTGCAGTGACCCCGCCCTGTGTGCTGCCCCCATGTCGTGTGGTGTCCCCCTGTGTCCTGCCCCCATGCCGTGTGGTGCCCCCCATGCCATGTGGTGCCCCCACCATGTGTCCTGCCCCGTGCCATGCGGTGCCCCCGTGCCATGCGGTCCCACCCTGTATGATTCCCGGGTGCTGTGGGGTGCCCTCATCCTGTGGGCTGCCCCCGTGCCGTTTGGTGTCCCCGTCCTCTGTGCTGCCCCCGTGCCGTGGGGTGTCCCCATCCTGTGTGCTCTCCCGTGCCGGCCGCGGTCCCCGTGGCCAGACCCGATCGTGAATCGGTGTCCTGTGGATGAAGATGTGCAAATACACTTCTGCCAACGGAAAGTACAAGAAGGAGCCAGAAGAAAAAGATTGCGTGCCTAGGGAAGGACAAGGCTGCTGAGGGGGAAAAGGCATCAGGTTCTCCAAAGCCAAATGAGCCCAGCAGCAAACAGGACACGTCCCAACAGGAAGGCTCTGCTCCGCCAGGGGAAGCCCCCGCTGAGCACAGTAGAAGAAAAGAGTAGTAGTACTAGAAGAGAATAAGGATAAGAATAGGAGTAAGAATAAGAACAGGAACAAGAATAAGAATAGAAGTAAGAGTAAGAATAAGAAAATAATTAGCTTAGAAGTAGAAATAACGAAAGGAATGAGTGAGAAAAAGAAATAAGATTAAGAATTGAAAGAAGAATAAGAACAAAGAGTGTAAAAAGAAGAAGAAGAAATATAACAAGAATACCTAGAAGAGAAAGAAGAAGAAGAAAAAGCATAAAAAGAGAAGGAAGGACAAGAAAACAAGAACATGAAGTAGAACAAGAAAAGAAGAACAGGCAGTGAGGATGACTCTTCATCCCTCCAAGAGCCCCAGATCTCTCCCCAGGCTCATTGCTGAGGCCTTGCAGCACAGCCCTGCACATGATGCAAAGCCATGCAGCAGATGCAGAGTCTGCTGCAGAGGCTGCCTCAAACTTGCCCCAGGCAGGGCAGGGACCGGGGTGTTCCCCTGGCCCCAGGCTCTGTCCCTGTGCTGAGCTCCATGTTCTGGGGACCCTCAGCACCAAGGAGAGCTGATGGAGAGCCTCAACCAGACATGGTGGCATGCATGGAGGGGAGAAATTTTCATCCTCCTGTGGTCCTTCCGTGAACATCACTGAACTTCCCTTCCCTCCTCTGAACTTCCCTTCCCTCCCCTCCCAGACTTCCTTTCCCAGAACTTCCTTTCCCAGAACTTCCTTTCCCTTCCCTTCCCTTCCTTTCCCAGAACTTCTCTTCCTTCCTTTCCCAGAACTTCCTTTCCCTTCCTCCCTTCCCTTCCCTTCCTTCCCTTCCCCTTCCCTTCCCTTCCCTTCCCTCCCTTCCCTTCCCTTCCCTTCCCTTCCTTTCCTTCCCTTCCCTTCCCAGAACCTTCCCTTCCCTTCCCTTCCCTTCCCTTCCCTTCCCTTCCCTTCCCTTCCCTTCCCTTCCCTTCCTTCCCTTCCCTTCCCTTCCCTTCCCTATTCCCTTCCCTTCCCCTTTTCTTTTCTTTCTTTCTTTCTTTTCTTTTCTTTTCTTTTCTTTTCTTTCTTCTTTTCTTTCTTTTCTTTTCTTTTCTTTTTCTTATCTTTTTCTTTTTCTTTCTTTCTTTCTTTTCTTTCTTTTCTTTGTCTCCTCTCTTCCTCTCTTCCTCTCTTCTCTCTCTTCTTTCTCTTTCCCTTCTCTCTTCTCTCTCTTTCTTTCTTTCTTTCTTTCTTTCTTTCTTTCTTTCTTTCTTCTTCTTTCTTTCTTTCTCTCTTTCTTTTCTTCTCTCTTTCTTCTCTCTTCTTCTTTCTCTCTTTCTCTCTTTCTCTCTCTCTCTTTCTTTCTCTCTCTTCTCTTTCTTTCTCTTTCTTTCATCTTCTTTCTCTCTTTCTTTCTTTCTTCTCTCTCTCTCTTTCTCTCTCTTTCTCTCTCTCTCTTCTCTCTCTTTCTTCTTTCTTTCTTCTTTCTTCTCTCTTCTTCTCTTTCTTTCTCTTTCTTTCTTTCTCTCTTTCTCTCTTTCTTCTTTCTCTCTCTCTTTCTTTCTCTCTTTCTATCTTCTTCTTTCTTCTTCTTCTTTCTCTCTCTTCTCTCTTTCTCTCTCTCTATCTTTCTGTCTTCTTTCATTCTTCTCTTCTCTTATCTCTTTCTCTCTTTCTTTCTTTCTTTCTTTCTCTCTCTCTTTCTTTCTTTCTTCTCTCTCCTCTCTTTCTCTCTCTCTTCTTTCTTTCTCTTTCTCTCTCTATCTCTCTTCTCTCTCTTTCTCTCTTTCTCTCTCTTTCTTCTCTCTTCTCTCTTTCTTTCCTTCTTCTCTTTCTTTCTTTCTCTCTTTCTTTCTCTCTTTCTTTCTTCTTTCTTTCTTTCTTTCTTCTTTCTTTCTTTCTCTCTCTCTTTCTCTCTTTCTCTCTTCTCTTCTTTCTTTCTTCTTCTTATCTCTCTCTCTTTCTCTCTCTTTCTCTCTGTCTTCTCTTTCTTCTTTCTTTCTTCTTTCTTCTTTCTTTCTCTCTTTCTTTCTTTCTTTCTTTCTTTCTTTCTCTCTTTCTTTTTCTTTCTCTCTTTCTTTCTCTCTCTCTTTCTTTCTCTCTCTCTCTTTCTCTCTTTCTTTCTCTCTCTCTTTCTTTCTCCTCTCTTTCTCTCTCTCTCTTTCTCTCTCTTTCCTCTCTCTCTCTTCTCTCTCTTTCTTTCTCTTTCTCTCTTTCTCTCTCTCTCTTTCTTTCTCTCTCTCTATCTTTCTTTCTCTTTCTTTCTCTTTCTTTCTTTCTCTCTTCTTTTCTTTCTTTCTCTCTTTCTTTCTTTCTTTCTTTCTTTCTATCTCTCTTTCTCTCTCTTTCTTTCTTTCTTTCTTTCTTTCTTTCTTTCTTTCTTTCTCTTTCTTTCT